TTTAGCTCAGGCTTTAGACCTTGTGAAAGTCATTGCCATGTAGCTAAACATTTTTAAGTCTAAATAGAAATTGGGTTAACCCTTGAATAAGAGATCTGTTTTATGTTGCTGCCAATCAAATGGTAGACAAACAGGATGTCTTAGTAGATGATAAAATAATTCAGTAAAGGATGGTTGTTTTGTAGTTATGTCTTAAAGATATTGTATCAATTTAAAGCATATTAGATTATTGCTTTCCTTCATAAGGAATATCCTACATGCTGACAATTATTTTGCAACTTTGTACTATAGGTGATTTTCAGATGAAATTGGTATATTAAATATGCAGGATTTTTGGTTCTTATTATATGTGTAGTGTACATTTTATTTGTGCTCACTTTGTCAGTCAGCTGTGATATTGCTAACCATGTTCCCCCCGGGATCTTTACTGAGATTTTGTGCAGAATTGGCGAATGTCAGAAAACACCTGCTTTAATAGGCTATGCAATCCCTTTTTGGGCTAGGATGACAAACCAGATCTAAAATGGGGAATTTTTTAAATGTTGGAGTGACAGCAAGTAAATGTTGGGTTTTGCTGCCAATATTGGTGGAACACAACTCATATTGTTGAGGCATTGTCTTCCTTCTAAGGTAGAATACTAGTTATTAACCTCAACAGAAAACAAAGAGAAATAGGTTTACCTTAGGCAGGGGTTTGGCAGGCTTGCAGTGGAGGCCTCCAACAAAATCGAAATGTGGTAAGACTGGGCGAGGAAATTCAAAATCCCAATAGGTTCGAATGAGCCATACTTCAGCTTTCTCCATTGTCTCATATAATGTAGTGGGTCTTCCTGGAGGGAAAAGCAAACAGAAGGTAGAGGAAATGGGAGTATTTTAATGTAAGTACTGTACTAGGACAGTTTCTGAAAGGGGCTTGGGATAAGGTAGCCAAAATGCTTTAAAGTGTCTGTGGTTTGATAATATAAATATTTATGTATATGGTATATATGTATACATACTCATATGTGTGATAAAATATATAAAATTTATACGTTTATGTTTATGTTCAAATACATAAGACAAAGCGCTAGAGACCTTTTATCTCTGATGTGACATCAGTACATTCACAATGATAAACCATTAAATGTAAGCCACTATAGAATTAAACATATTTGTTTTTATTGTAAAACTACAAAAGTAACAGATGCAAATGTGCACAATTATTTGAGCTCCCTAATCAATTTATCAATGGAAACACGTTGCCTTATACTCAGCTTAGTTTCTACAATTTAGCAAGCTATTCCCTGAATACTAGATTTTCTAAGAACTGTGAGGTTTTTGAAGTATATCTTAGTTCCTGACACCTACAATTGCATTTTTTGTTAATTTTGGAGTTTAATAATATTTATATATATTTAATAATAATATTTGCAAATAACAGCTGGAAAGTTTTTATAAGATATGGAAAATAGATGTGCTCCCTTTAGTTTTGGCTCATTTTTGTCTATAATGAAAAGATACAGTTTTTACAAATACAGAGAAATAACTTGATTGTCCACACTTCAACACAACTTTTGACCTTTAAAACAGTGTAAGCACTGAGTGAATGAATATGTAGTTATTAGAAACTTTGATTTGTAGGTTCTTGAGTCGGGTTGGAGCTATTATATCTCTCTATCATGAAAGAGTTTTTTAGGTAACATGGCAAAACAGTTTAATTTTAAAGTAAAGAAACTGAGGAGGAACAAGTGGAGACAATGATGTCAAAGCTCAATAGACAGCTGTGCTAGAAGTAAAGTAACATCTCAATCTACTTTTCTGCTTCGATCAAGATATTTAGTGAAATTTCTAATGCCTATCTCTTAAGTTGAAAAATTATAGTGTAATGGGTATTTTGGAAATAAGTACAGCGCAGAGAATTTTTAGGATAGTGAAACCACTCTATATAATACATGTCATTATAAATTTGTTAAAACCCATGGAATATGTAACACCATGAGTGAACTCCAACATGAACTGTGGTCTTTGGATGATAGCAATGTGCCACTCTAGGTTCAACAATTGTAGCAAATGTATCCCTTAGGAGTGATATGTTGAAAATGAGGGAGTCTATACATGTGTGGGGGCAGAGGTTATATGGGAAATCTTACTCAATATTGCTGTGAACTTAAAAGTTCTCTAACAATAAGTGTAGGATGGGCAATATTTTGACATTATATTTAAAAAAAAACCCAAAGAATGAAACACTTTACACAGAAAAAAAGAATAAAAAATAAATTATATTACAAAGAATTGGTATAATGGTTTCTAGAATTTCTCAGTGCTTCAATTTGTGGTTTTTGACTTCCTAAAATCTCCTGTACTAAGAGTGAATCACAGGGTCAAAAATGGCCTAATAATTTAAACATTTCTATAATATTTGTGAGATTGAAATACCATTATATATTATCATTTAGTCATTTTACTTATAAAAAATATTTCCTCTGTTTTTATATTTGTACAAACTCATTTTACTTATAAAAGATATTTCCTCTGACTTTATATTTGTACAAACTCTCCTCCCATGGCACTAGCAAAGTTTAGGTTTCAAGCTATCAGTTAAAACATGACTTACCTAGTACATCACTATAAAACTGATCCCACTTCTTCTGATTATATGTTTGGAACCAGAAGTCAAAATAAAGCAAGTACATCATATTTTTTACTCGCTCCATGAATGTCATTTGATCACTTAATTCAGACAAAACAATGACCTCAGCCTTTCAGCAGAGCTCATGCCCATGTGATCATTCCGACTCTGTACTCTCAGTGACTTGGTCCCCCACCCTTGCCCTTTTCCTTCCTCCAAAAAACCTCAAATTGAATAGCAGATGGTTTATTGGGGTCAACAAGAATTGAAGCTGAAGATGTCAGAACAGTCACTTCATGACCTCTCTCGACAAGTGCATCCAGGATGGTCTTCATGTTGATCCAGTGGCTGTATTCTGTGGGCCACACCAGCACCTTTCCACAACTCCCAGGGCTGAAGTGACCACTCAGCTGTAGCAGCAGCAGAACTGAAATCCATTTCATAGGCATCCTGGTGGCACACAGGCTTCTTTTCAAATCGCTGATCCCTTTACCATGGCTCATGCTTACGTGCAAAGGGAAATCAATTAGAAAGTTAAAATATAATCCACACGCCCAAAGTAAATACATTTGATTAACATTCATACCATTAGGATGAAAGTGGAAAAAGTAAATATAGATGATCTTATTTGTAAACAAGTGGCTTTAATATCTGTTTTATGATTATAAGCACTATCAATGACCTTTTTTTTGAAAGTCTTCTGCTTTATTTCCACTCAAAGGATCTCCTCTAACTAGAAAAGGAAAGGACATAACCAGAAATAAGAAAATATGAGAAAGGAATAAAAACTCTACAGGTAAAGCCAAATATTAATAAAGACATCATATTAGACATTTAAAAAGCTACTACAAAGGTAAAAAGGAAAAATGGTATGTAACTCAACTCAAAATACAATAAGTAATTAGGGAATACACAATACAAAAATATCTAAAACATGGCACCAATAACATAAACATGGAGGAGGGAGTGAAAATTTAATTCTTATACAATATTCTTGAATTTAAATGAATATTAGCTTGAAATAGACTGCTACAGATATAGAATGATATACGTAAACCTTATGATGACCAGAAACTAAAACTGTAGAAAAGATATATAAAGTAGGGTTTTATATACATAGACTAGAGGCTCACTGCATGAAATTCGTGAGTGGGTATGGTCCCTAGGCCTGGCCTGTGATCAGGGCCATCTTCCCTGGTTGCCTGCAGCCAGCCCTGACCCCCACTGCCACCCACCCCTAGTTCCCCATTCGCCATTGGGTGATTGGAGCCTGCTGGCTCGGGGGAGGAGCCGAAAGGTCAGCCATTCCCACCCACTTGCCGGCCCTGCCCTTGTTGCAGGTAGCCCTCTGTGTGTGGGGCGACTGGTGGGGTGGGAGGCTTTGCGTGGTGTCACCTGCTTTCCCCGCCACCCACTCCCAGTTCTCCGTTTGCCATCAGGCGATCAGAGCCTGCCGGCCAGGGAAAGGAACTAAGAGGTGGTCAGTGTGCCTCATAGTGACTGTTCGAGCAGTGGTTCTGGCCATTCCACCATTAGGGTCAATTTGCGTATTACCCTTTTATTATATAGGATAGAGACCCAGTGCACCTGCCAGCCTGCCCTGATGAGGGCCCCGGATCAGGGTGGGGGACCCCGCTGGGTGGTGGGGCTGTCCAGGACGAGGGGCCATGAGTGGTTTGCAGGCCGGCCACTTCCCCGATGGGGGTGGGGGTGTCCCTGCTTGTGGGCGGAGCCAGCTGGGGTGAGGGGCTGTGGAAGTTTGCAGGCCAGCCAGGAACCCGATTGGGGTGGAGGTCCCTGCTAGGAGGTGGGGCTGGCCAGGGTGAGAGGCATGAGTGGTTTGTAGGATGGCCACTTCCCCAATGAGGGTGGGAGTCCCTGCTGGCAAGTGGGGCCAGCCTGGGAGAGGGGCTGTGGATGGTTTGCAGGCCGGCTATACCCCTGATCAGGATGGGGATCCTTGCTGGGGGGCAGGGCTGGCCGGGGCAAGGGGCTGCGGTCATTCTGGTCTCTGGTCATTCTGGTCGTTCCACCGTTTTATTCGCTGGGGTTTTATTATATAGGATATGTATAACCCATGGACAGACAATAGTGCAGTCAGGCCTATTGGAGGGTCAGAGTGGAGTGGGCCAATGGGGAAAAAAGGAGAACATCTGTAATACTCTCAACAATAAAGACAAATTAAAAAAAATATATTGCTAACAAAATAATGAAAGATTGCTATTTGTGACAAAATGAATGGACCTAGAGGATATTATTGCTTAGTGAAATAAGTCGGGTAGAAAAGACAAATTCTGTATGATTTCACTTATATATATAATCTAAAAGAACAAAACAAATGAACAGACAAAACAGAAACAGATCCATAGATATAGAGAACCAGCTGATGGTTTCTAAAGTGGAAGTCAGAGGATGAGAATAAAATATTAACATATCTATAAAAGAACACATATCCCCTCATCTTCATTAACTTTGGGCATTGTCAGTCTTTTAAATCTTTGCCAATATTATGGGTTTAAATGTTATTTCATTATTTTTATTTCTTTAATTTTCATTAGTCTTGCTCATTTTTCATATATTTTTTGTGGGAAATAAGTGGTATATAGAGGGTGGGTCAAAAGTGGATGTACTGTTGTTCATATGGAAAATAATACAATCTTACCTAATAATAGACTAACATGCAAATTGACCTTACATTCGCTATAGGAAAATCTGGGAGCTTCGGTCGCCGGGGAGCTTGGTCAGTCTGAAAACAGCCGCCAGCCCCTCAACCAGGCTGGTCAGGCACCCCAGCGGGACCCCCACCCTGATCCAGGACACCCTTCAGGGCAAACCAGTCGGCCCCAATCATGCACCATGCCTCTATTCTATATAACAAAAGGGTAATATGCAAATTGATCCTAAGAAGAGAAAGACTGGGAATGACTGGTCACTATGACACACACTGACCACCAGGAGGCAGATGCTCAATGCAGGAACTGCCCCCTGGTGGTCAGTGGACTCAAATAGGGGGAGCTCTGCTCAGCCACAAGCCAGGCTGATGGCTGCCAGCACAGCAGTGGTGGCGGGAGCCTCTTCTGCCTCCTCAGCAGCACTAAGGATGTCCGACTGCAGCTTAGGTCAGCTCCCTGCTGGTAAGTGGACATTCCCGAGGGCTGCTGGGCTGCCAGAGAGATGTCTGACTGCCAGCTTTTGCTCAATCCCCCAGAGAGAGGGCCTAAGCCAGCAGGTGGACATCATCTGAGTGGTCCCAGACTGCAGAGGACATAGACTGGGCTGAGGGACCCTCCTGGTGCAAAAATTTGTGCACCAGGCCTCTAATAATTAATAATAATACAAGAATAAACTCTTTTGCATACAACTGTAAAACTACTTTTGCCCACCCTGTATTATAAAACTTAATTATGTTTATGCCATTTGAGTTAATGATTCTGTCTAAGAAGTAAAATCAAGAAAATATGCAGTACTCACAGATTTATGTCAAAAATGATCATCTGAGTATTATTTATAAGAGTATAAATTTGTTAAATAAATTATAAAGTATGGTATCTATATGATGCTATATTATGCAGCCATTTAAACATTATGTTTAAGAAGAGTTTATAGAATATTATTTTACATGTAGGGGAAGAGAAAATTACATACTCAAGATACAAAGAAAAGAGATAAGAAAGAATACATTAAAATGTAAGCATTAGTTATTTATGAGTGATGGAACCATGGATAACTTTATCTTTAAAAATAACAATAATAAACCGATTATATGGTAACATAAATGAACAATTTAAAAAAAAAAGAAATGGCATAAGTGGGCATTCTTGTCTTGTTCCTGATAAGAGGAAAGGCTCTCAAAATTTCACCTTTGAGTATATGTTGTTAGTTGTGCAAAATCTGAATGGATTTAGAAGATGTGCCAGAGAATGTCAGGTTTGCACCTTATTTTTATTTTGTGTTAATCCTTACCCACAGAAATTTTTTCTGTTGCTAGAGAGAGAGAGAGAGAGAGAGAGAGAGAGAGAGAGAGAGAGAGAGGGGGGGGGAGGGAGAGAGAAAGAGAGAGAGAGAGAAACATCGGTGAGAGAGAGACAATGTGAGAGAGATAAATCGACTGGTTGCCTCCCACATGTGCCCCCACTGGTGGGGTTTAATCCTACAACCGAGGTACATGCCCTTGACCACAAGTCAATCCAGGACCCTTTGGGCAAGCTGACACTCTTACCATGTAACCACACAAACCAGGGCTTCTGTACCTAATCTATATATATAAAAGCCTAAGTGACCATTACAACCAGTCAACTGAATGTCCAGTTGACTGGTTGCTATGATGTGCACTGACCACCGGGGGTCAGATGCTCAATTCAGGAGCTACCCCCTCATGGTCAGTGTGCTATCAAAGCCAACCTCCCTTGGCTGGCCAAACTCCTGCAGTCCCTTCTCCCAGCCGGCTGGCCAACCTCCCGCCATCCCTTCCCTCAGCTGGCCAACCTCCCATGGCCCCTCCCCCCAGACTGGGCAAGATGGCTCTGATAGGCCCCAATCGCCAGTCAGGCAGAAAGACCCCACCCGTGCACGCATTCTGCACCAGGTCTCTCGTTATATATATTAAAATCTACCAAGGACATGTAAGGGGTTCCATGAAATTCATTGGTGGTAGATTAGGGAGGCAGGAGAAAGCAAATGGGGGGATTCTCTAGGATTGCATAAAACATAAAAGGAGCCATGGACACTGTCTCAGTTGGTTGGAGCATCATCCTGTGCACGGAAGGGTCACAGGTTCTATTCCCAGTCAGGACACATGCCCAGGTTGCATGTTCTATCCCTGGTTGGGGCACATGCAGGAGGCAGCTGGTCAATGTATCTCTCTCCCATCGATGTTTCTCTCTGTCTCTCCCATCCTCCTTCTCCAAAACAAGTAAAAGAATAGACACATACTTCTTTTACATTGGTAGTAGAGGATAGTTAAAACAGTTAACAATTAACATGATGAAAATAACAAAGAGAGGTTCTGGTGTCTCTCCTCTGTAGCAGTGATTGTGCCCTGAGTGGTCTGGAAAAAGGAAATAACTCTGGCATTCCAAACGCATGTTATTGTAGATGCAAAAAGACAATAGACCAGCTCAATTAGGTGAAGATCAACCTTTCTCAAGGAAGGGAGTGGCCTAGGGCATGACCTCCTGCCATGACTGGCTTTTAGTTAGAACGCTTTAATTTCAGACCATCCTATGTGATTGTTTTCAGTCTCTGAATTTGTAAGTCCATCATGCAGGTCTACTCTGGGCTGGTCAAGTTTACTATGTGGCCCCTTTTTTTGTCCACATTATCTAGAAGAGTTTGTGCAAGATTGATGGTGTTTCTGCCTTCAGCATTTGTAAATTTTCACTGGTGAAAGCATTTGGAGTTTTCTTTGTTGGTAGTTCTAGTAGTTTTAACGAGGACTCAATTGCAGTATTCAATAGTTTTAAACATAGGTTCAATGTCTTTAATGGGTATTTATTAGGCAATTC